GCGTCGTGGTTAAGACATGGCTGACTGTGATTCAAGTCTCGGACCTGGCAGCTTGCTTTCTCACTTTCTCCCTCTCTCTCTTCCTGCCTACCCCTCCGCCCCTGTCTCTGGTCAAATCAAAATAAATAAATAAAGTTAAATAAAATAATTTTTTAAATAATAATAATTAAAAATGAAGAGACTGAAACTTAATGAGCTAAATTATCCTATTTAGCAGGTTAAAAAAAATAACTCCAGGGTCCAGCAGGTGACATAGTGGTTAAGGCACTAGACTCCCACATGGCCAACCACAGTTCCAGCTGTGGACCTGGTAGCTTGTTTTCTCACTTTCTCTCTCTCTCTCTGATGATCATACAGGCCCTGTAGCAAAATTTTAAAATAATAATAATAATAAGGGGACCAGCAGAGAGAATGGTGGCTAAGGTGCTGGACACTCCCACATGGCCAACAACAGTTCAAGCCCCGGACCTAATGCCTTGCTTTCTCACTTTCCCTCCCTCTCTCTGGTCAAATTAAAATCAATGAATAAATAAAATTAAATAAGTAATTCTTTATTTATTATTTGATTTATTTTATAAAAAATAAAGTGGGGCTGGCAGGTGGCGTGGTGGTTAAGACATGGCTGACTGTGATTCAAGTCTCGGACCTGGCAGCTTGCTTTCTCACTTTCTCCCTATTAAATAATTTAAAAATAAATAAATAACAGCTTAAAACACACCATGAGAATACTGGCAACGTTCAAATTAGTTCTTTGAAAATACTAATAAAATGAATGAACTTTGGGCCTGGTGGCATGGTGGTGAAGGAGCTAGACTCCCACATGGCCAACCGCAGTTTGAGTCCCAGACCTGGTGGCTTGCTTGCTCACTTTTCTTCTCTCTCTCACCCTGTGGTCTCTCTCTAGTCAAATTAAAGAAGAAGAAGAATAAATCAAATTAAAATAGTTCTTAAAAGAGTTAATGAACTTCTAATAAAACCGATTTGAACTAAACAAAAAAGCAGTAATCTTTGATACAGCAGAAATATAAAAGGTAAGAAAATACTATGAATAATTTTATACTGATACACTTTAAATTTAGGTCAAATTGACAGAGTTCCAGAAAAACAGAAATGACAAAAATAATTGAAGAAGAAATAGGAAGCCGAAAAGTTCCTACAACCATTAAAGAAATTAAATCACTCTTTAAATATTTTCCAAGAAGAAAATTCCAGGCCGAAATAGTTCCACTGGCAAACTCTATCTTTTGTGTTTGTGTTTCTTTGTGTTTTTTTTTTTTTTTTTAATTTTCTATAGGTTACATGTACTCACGAGAAAGACAGAGAGAAGGAAAGTGAGAAAACACCCCAGGGTGGACAGCCTTTCAAACTAGGAATATGCTTTCTCTGTCCTAAATGAAAAAATAAAATGAAACTCCTTTGACTCCACTCCCTCCTTAAAGTATTAGCTCACTCCTCTCTCCAATGTCTAGTACCTTATATTTCTCCACTAGGCACCTTTCTGGTTAGAACACATTTTTGTTTTCTCATGTCACAAAGCCAATGCTCCTGTTTAGCTCCAATACATACTTTTTTATTAGCATTAGATATCTAAAGATATTTTCTTGACCATACTTTTATAATAAGGCCTAAAGTTCTCTGTCCCAGCCAGAAAACTATAAACCATCCCCTAGTAAACAAACACAAAAAATAAATAAAAATCTATTCAAAGAAATATGTACCTGTCTTTTAAACAGTAAAAATGTATTACCTGAGTAAGAATTAAGAGAAACTGTCCACCGTACTGTTAGTCCTATTAAGACCACTACTGTCATCAAGTACCACTTCTCCATAGTGCTTCAAATGTAGGGAGGGAGAAGAAAAAACAACCAGCACTACAATACTTTTACACGCAGTCAGTCACTTCTTTTCTTGATCAGAGAAATGTCATCACTTCTTTGGAATCAGGAGTTTGAGAGGATTTTAATGATGCTTCACTTCCAAGCAGTCAAAATGGATTATTTATGAAGGAGGAACCTAGGATAAAAAAGACACCGAGCTTTAACTGAGTACAGTACCTGTAATAAAGAACCCATTAAACCAAGTAGAAAGAAGAATTGCGGGGACAAACAATGGCATAATGGTTACATCGCTCGACTCCTACATAGTTGACCACAGTTTGAGTCCTGGACCTGGCAGCTTAAAACCCACACAGGGCACATGTGCATGCATGCCCAAAATCCTGAGGAGAATAGAGGAGAAGGGATTGCAGCATGGTCATCCCCCCGGGGGGGGAGATTTCTCGCTTTCTGTCTCTCTGTCTCTCTGTCAAGCGTACATGCTCTGTAGCAAAATCTCTCTCTAAAAAACATTAAATGAAAAGAAAGAAGAATTAGAAAGAAGGAGGGTATGGAGAGGAGGAAGTATCAAATAGCTTTAAATTAATATTCCCTTGTCTTCTAGTTGGGAAATACACATGCCTCAAAAGATGATTCTCCCTGTTAAATGATCCTCAAAATGTTTAAAGATGTAGTAAGGATTTTCTTTCACAAGGGAATATTTCTAAGAGGAAGATACAAAAATAGGGATACAGACAGCACGGTCAATTCTATCTAGAGTATATTCACCAGGTAAATAAAAGACAACAAAGGTAGACAAAGGGGTGATTTATCTTTAGTACAAAAAGAAAAATTTTTATCTTTGTATTTTGTTTGGGAAAGTCATCTACCAAAGTAATAGCTGTAGTTTGGTTTTCAGTTCATTTTTTCCAAAATATACTTGCACCGAGCACACTAACCTTCCATCTTTGAGAGTGAACCTTTACAAAAATCAGTAGAGACTCAAACTTTAAAGAAAATACAACCAAATTAACTATTTACATGGCTTTTTTTCTCATAAGTTGGGAGTTTACAAGTAAGAAAGAAATTGACATTTTCCTCTTCTCTTTGAAAGAGGATGGGTCATTGTAACCACAGGATATACTTTAAATATATTCACAGTGGGCCAGCAGATGGTACAGCAGTTTACATCACTGGACTCCCACATAGGCAACCATGGTTCAAATCCCAGACCCAGTGGCTTGAAAATTATGCTGGAAACGTGTGCATACGAGCCCAAGATCCCAGGAGGAAAATGGAGGAGAAGGGATTGCAGAATAACCATCTCCCTGGGGGAGGATATCTCACTTTCCCTCTCATCACCTGTCTCTCTCTCTCTCTCTCTCTCTCTCTCTCTCTGGTCAGCACACATGCCCTAAGGAAAAAACTTCTCCAAAAATAAATAAATAAATTCAGAAAAATATAATTAATAAGCCAACTGAAAATTTAGGAAAAACTTTAGTACATTCTACCTACTGGGCTAAAACTATTTTCTTACATAAATTAAAAAAAAAAAAAAATCAAGGGACAACCCCAGAATTAATGAAGTCTAGCACCTCGATCAGAATGACTCGATGTCTTTGAAAGGGCTCTGTAACTCTGATTACATAAATCCCCTTTCTCTTTATTTTCTCCTGCTGTATTCACTTTAGATCATCACTAACTTCTATCACAGAAACAAGATAAGGAAAATTAAAATTAAATCATTTTCCAGTGTCAATCCTGAGGTTAGTCAGGTTACATGCCATTATAAACTATTCAAAATCTTTTTTTAGTTTACTCAAAAAGCCCCTTTTAACACCATGATACACTATGTATTCTTGAGTTGTAATACAACACTCTGTTTTCTGCTGAGATATCATGTTTAAAATTTACCATGCAAATGTTGATTCCTGGATTTAAAAATAGAGCATAAGTAACATTCTATCCAGGAAATTTAAATCACTAATATGACCAAGTTAATTGTCCACAGTTCTAGATAAACTCATTTAAGTACTTCACTAGAAACCTTGAGTAACAAAACTAAGACTACCAATAAACTTAATAGTCATAATGGGGGCCAGCGGGTGACATGGACCCCACATGGCCCACCACAGTTTGAGTCCCAGACCCGGCAGCTTGCATTCTCTCTCTCTCTCTCTCCCTCTCTGGTGAGTGCACATGCCCTGTTGCAAATTTAAAAATAATAATGATAAATAAAATTATATACATAATAAGTAATAATAATGAGAAATAAAATTATATGTTTTAAAAATAGTCATATTTGGGGGCCAGCAGGTGGAGTGGTGGTTAACAGCTACCACATGGCCAACCACAATTCAAGTCCCGAACCTAGCAGCTTACTTTCTCTTTTTCTCTCTCTCTCTCTCACTCCATCCCTCTCAGGTCAAGTTAAAATAAATAAATAAAGTTAAATAAAATAATTCTTAAAAAAAAAAAGTCACAATGTGGACCAAGTAGATGGCATAATGGTTACATCACTGGACTCCCACATAATTGACCACAATTCAAGTCCCAGACCCAGAAGCGTGGAACTCACACCAGGTACAAATGTATGTGAGCCCAAAATCCCAAGGGATTATGGTGTGGCCATCCCCCCTGGGTGGGGGTGGTGGGGGTTTCTCTCAGTTTCTGTCTCCCCAGCAAGTGCATGTACTCTAAGTTAAAAAATAAATCTCGGGGTGGGGGAGAACAGAAGCTGAGCAATTATCTGATAGGAATATTTTAAATGTAGGAATGTAAGACTGATTAGAGCAGCAAGTGGTGTGGTAGTTAAGGTGCTGGGCTCCCACATGACCACCTACAGTTAGAGTCCTGGACCTGACGGCTTGCTTCCTCACTTTCCCTCTCCTTCTGGTCAAATTTAAAAGTGCTAACGATAAACAAAATTAAACTATTCTTACAAAAGAAAGAATGTAAGGCTGATTTTTTTTTTAATTTGCTATAGTGTACATGCAGTGTGTGCTCACCAGAGAAAAGGAAAATGAGAAATCTCTCTCTCTCTCTCACACACACACACACACACACACACACACACAACACATTTGAGGTGCCAGGAGGGCATAACCGCTTGAGTCCCTTCTCCTCTACTCTCTTTTCAGTACTTCCAGTATCCATACAAATGCTCCTGGAATGATTTTCTAACTGCTAGGTCCAGGATTTGAATCGCAAAGTCAGCCATGTGGGATCCAGCAACCTTAAACTCCATGCTACCTGCTGGTCCAGAGATGACTAATTTCTTTTTTTGTTTAAGATTTATTTATTTATTTTATTTATTATTGTTATTTTTTTTTTAATTTGGACAGAGAAAGACAGGGAAAGTGAGAAAGCAAGCCACCAGGTCTGGGATTCAAACTACAGTCAGCCATGTGGGAGTCCAGCACCTTAATCACCACATCACCCGCCGAGATGACTAATTTCTCTCTTTTTTTTTAAAGAATTATTTATTTATTTAATTCCATTTGTCATTATTATTATTATTATTATTTAATTGGACCAGACAGAGACAGAGAAAGAGATGCGGAAAGCGAGAAAGCAAGACACTAAGGTCCAAGACTCAAACTGCGACCAGTCCTATGGGATGGGAATACAACGCCTTTATCCACAACACCACCTGCCTAATTTCTAAAGTGACTTCTAAATCTGATTTGGGAAGGACCAGCAGATGGTGTGTGTAATGGTGTAATGGTTACACCACTGGACTACCGCAGAGCCGACTGCAGTTTGAGTCCCTGACCCGGCTGCTTAAAACTCACACTGGGCATGTGTACATATGTGCCCAAGATCCCAAAAGGAGAATGGAGGAGAAGGGACTGCGGCATGGCAATCACCCCTGGGGAGTGATTTCTCACTTTCTGTCTCTCTGTTTCTCAGATGAGCGCATGTGCACTACAGCACAAATCTCTCTTTAAAAAAAACAAATCTACAGGGCCAGCAATTGGCATAATGGCTATGTCGCTGGACTCCCATGTAGTCGACCGTGGTTCAAATCCTGAACCCAGTGGCTTAAACTAACGCCAGGTGTGTGTGCATGCATGCCCAAGATCCTGAAAGGAGAATGGAGGAGAAGGGATAGTGGCATGGTCATCCCCCCTGGGGAGTGATTTCTTGCTTTCTGTCTCTCTGTCTCTCTCTGTCTTTCTGGCAAGCTCACGTGCCCTATAGCAAAAACCTCTTTTAAAAAATCTGATTTTGAAAGGAAATTATGTGTCAGAATTCATATAAATTGAGACAATACAGGGGCTACAGGTGGCGCGATGGTTAAGGCACTGGACTCCTACATGGCTACTGCAATTTGGGTCCCAAACTTGGTGGCTTGCTTTCTCACTTTCCCCCTCTCTCACTGTCCCTCGCTGGTCAAATTAAATAATTGATTGATTAAATAAAGTTCAATAAAAAATAATCCTTTTAAAAAAATTGTGACAAAAGGCCAGCAGGTGGCATGGTGGTTAAGGACCCTGGACCCCCACATGGCCCACCACAGTTTAAGAGCTGGACCTGGAAGCTTGCTTTCTGACTTTCCCTCTCTCTTTCTCTCTCTCACTCTGTCCCTCTCTGATCAAATTAAATTAAATAAAGTTAAATAAAATAATTCTTTTTAAAAATTTGTGACAATACAATAGAAAACTTGGTTCTTCAATGCGCTAATGTTTACCCCAATTCCCAATGGCTGCCAAGTAGTGCCAGAAGGGCTTCTTTGATGAGTGAATCAGCTAGGCCTTCCTATCCCACACAAGACGGTCAAGCAGTTCAAGGACATCAAAAACACTTCCCCAGATGTGTTACCCTTTTATAAAATAAAACCCAAATGCCCCAGCCATAAAGCCCTTTCTGAACTGACCCCTCACTGACTCCCCAACTTCCTCTCCTCCCACCTCTCCTGGGGTATTTCCTCTCCTTCCAGAAGTTGCCAATTCATTCATACTTCAGTCCCTTTCCACGTGGTTCCCTCTGCTTGGAATGCTGTTAACCCAGCTCACCCACTAATTTTCTGTCATTCATGTTGTATCTAAAGTTATCTACTGGGAAAGGTCACGTCTGAGGGCTCTACTAGTCTCCTCCCCTTATTGTTTATAACTTACCTTCTTTAATTCTCTTCCTAATTATTTTCACTACCAGAAATTGTATTTTTAGACAACATGAAACGATCTCACACACAGAGTAAAACAAAAAAAAACTAGACACCAAAGCATACCATATGGTTCCTTGAAAGGAATAGGCAGAACTTCTCAATGGTGTTATAAATCAGGAAATACTGATAGTTTCCTTTGTGGGAAAAAGAAGGGATGGATTGAGATGGGTACAGGGTCGGTCCTCTGTGAACGTATATTTGATTTAGCGGGGGTTATTAGATGTGTTTATTCCGTGATAAATCAGCTAGTTACAGTTTGTGATTGGCATACAGTATTTTCCTGTACGTGTTATCTCAAGAAAAAAATCATGAAAGGAAAGGACATTCATCTGGCAACTAGAATAAAGCTCCCAGTGAGCAGAGATCCTCCGGTTGTGGGCCGTTGTTCTGTCCCCAGCTTAGAAAGGCACTGGCAGAAAGCAGGTGCCCAGGAAGCATTTGCTGAATGGAGACAGTACGCGTGACAGGAGGGGAGGTCCTAACTCGTGTGCAGTTAAAGGTACCTTGCGACACTTTCAACTGCTCTTTTCCCACCGTAAGGCAAAGTACCAGTAATCCATGCACAAGCCACAAGATGTTAGGCAGGCAGCAGAGTCGCTTTCGCCCACTCTGCCCTGAGGAGGCATCTTGACCCAAAGTCAACGTCCACCTCCCGGAGCAGCGCCAGCGCGAGCAGCCCTCCTAGGTGAGCTATCTGGCAACAGGGACCCCTCCCGACTTTCTTCCTCCCTTCTCCAGAGGGACAGACACGGGCACCACGACCGCCGATCAGGAGGTGCCACCACGAGCCCCGCGTCCCTCCACCCGGCCCCCAGGCGACCCTGCAGGCTGGGCTGGGGAGGCCTCGCTCTGAGACCGCAGCCGGCAGTGGGGTAGCCAGCTGCGCTCCAGCTCGCAGCGGCTCGCGAGCCCCGAGCACCTCCCCATACCGGCTGGGCGTCTAGAACCCCGGAATCGTGGGCTCTTACCAGCCGGACGCCAGCCGCGGGGATTGGCGCCAACAGCGAATCCCACGAAGGCGCCTGCGCGCTCGCTCCCGCGGTGGAGAGCACCTCTGGCCTTCCGCCTCGGAGTGCTCGCGTGCCCGCGCACCTCCCGCTCTCCCTGCGTGGGAGCGAGCCCGTCGAGCGTGAGGGGCGGAGCGGACAACGAGGACAAGGCGAGCAGGAGGCGGGGCGAGGAGGGGAGCAGGAGGCGGGGCGCGGAGGGGAGCAGGAGGCGGGGCGCGGAGGG